TCCAATCAGTAGGCACAAAGGAATCGGGGAAACCGACTCCTTACCACCAGAAAGAGAGCAAGATTTCTTCTCATACCAAGGGCACCACTAATAAACATCAGACCCTACAGGTACACTTATTTCTAAAAGACAGAAATTGAGAAGCATATTACCTAGATGCTTGACAATTTCATCACTCAACCTAGCCACAACCTGTTTGCCCCTCAGTGCTCCTAGTTAAAAAAAAGGATGGCTCTTGGAGGTTTTGCGCCAACTACATGCAGCTAATTTCAATTACAGTGAAGATAAACTTCTCATACCGGTGATTGATGACCTCTTTGACGAATTATATGGAACCATAGTCTTTTCCAAAATAGACTTAAGATTAGTCTATCACCAGATCAGGATGAGCCCTAAAGACATGCACAAGACAACCTCCCTTGCACACCACGGCCATTTCGAGTTCAAAGTCACACCTTTTGGCTTGACTAGTGGACCAACCACATATCAATCCTTGATGAATCAAATTTTCTAATCCCATGAGAAGTGTTTCAAATGCTGAAACAACATAAGCTGTTTGTGTGTAAATCCAAGTGCTGCTTTAGGAGAAAACAAGTTAAATACTTGGGGCACATCATCACATGAAGAGGTGCAAAAATAAAACCTCAAAAATCAAAGCCATGACCACCTGGCCAAGACCAACCACAGTTAAGAGATTGAGGTGATTTCTGGGCTTGATTGGATATTACAGGAAATTTATCAACAACTATGGAACCATCAGTTAGCCCTTGAAAAAATTACTCAAGAGGGACGCCTTCCAGTGGAATGAGCAAGCAAAGAAGACTTTCCAGGAACTCAAAACTGCAATGACTAGCGCCCTTATCATTGCCCTACCCAGTTTTCCAGAAACCTTATGGTGGAGGCAAACGCAACACATGGACAGGGGCGGTTCGACCACAAGTGAGGAGACTGATAGGATTCTTGAGTAAATCTTTGAGCTCCAAGAACCAAGCCCTATCAGTGTATGAGAAAGAGTTCCTAGCAATCCTCATGGCAGTTACCAAGTGGAGGCATTATCTTAAAGGGAGCAAGTTCATCACCAAGACCTACTAGCAGAGCATTAAACATCTCTTAGAGCAATGAATCCAGACTTTCATGAAAGTCAAGGGACTTGTGAAGTTGATGGGGTTCAACTACAAGATTGTGTACAAGAAGGGGAGTGAAAACAAAGCTGCAAATACCCTATCTAGAAGAGAGGCATATGAAGGAGGGGATTGTGCATGGCAACCTCAACAATCATACCAAGGGAACAAAATGGTTCAGACCTCCTTCATGACTTGATGTTGTTTCCTTCTTCCCAAGATCCATATATATATCAGCAAGGGGTACTGAGGTATAAGGGCTTATTTCTAGGGGAGAAGACATACTTGAGGGAACATCTGCTAGAACACCATCAAGATTCACCTATAGGAGGGCATTCGGGAGTAAGAGGCACCTATAGAAGTGAAAGCAAGAATTCTACTTGTCTAAGATGAAGCAACAGGAAGAACAATAGATAAGAAAATGTGAGATATGTCAACAGCACAAGGGAGAAAATGTGGCTTACCCAGGGTTGCTGTTCCAAAATAGGCTTGGACTAATGTAATGATGGATTTCATAGAGCAATTGCCCAAGTTAGAATGCAAATACACCATCCTGGTTGTAATAGACCAGTTCACCAAGTACAGTCATTTTCGGCCTAGTCACATCCTTTTACTACTCAGACAATTGTTTGAGTTTTTCTGGACCAAGTTTTCATACGCCGTGGGATGTCAAGGTCTATTGTCACTAACAGGGACAAGGTCTTTACAAGTAAGTTTGGCAAGAATTGATGAAGATGATGGGAACCAAACTCCACTACAGCTCAGCCTACTATCTGCAGACTAATGGACAGACAGAGAGGATCAACCAATATATTGAAGGTTATTTGAGATGTATGACTTACAACAAATCCAAGGCGTGGTTAAAATGGCTAGGGCTTGCAAAGTGGTGGTCTAATATCTCCTATCAGTCTACCTTAAAAATGACACCTTTCATGGCCTTACAAGGAAACCCCCTCCACTAGTCAGCGAGAGCAAGGGTAGAGAAACCAAGGTGGCTAAGATTGAAGAATGGCTAGAAGAGAGACAGGTAATGAATCGAATACTCAAGGAACAACGTATGGGTCCACAGAATTGCATCAAGTACTTTACTGATAACAAAAGAACCAAGAGGCAATTCCAGAAAGGAGATTGAGTGCTATTAAAACTACAGCCCTATAGCCAGTCCAGCATAGCAGGACGACGTTATTTGAAACTAGCACCCAAATTCTATAGGTCATTCTTTGTTATTTAGAAGATCAGGTCAATGGCCTACAGGTTAAACTTGCCTAAGACTTAAGATCCACGACGTATTCCATGTGTCTCAATTAAAGACGTAATGGTCCTTTTTTGTAGAATTTCCTTGGGCTCTTCTCTTCTCTTCTCCTTGCTTCTACAGACTCTTTCTTCTATCCCTGGGGTAAATCCTAATGATCCAAAAGCCTGATACTACTAGACTAATATGCAACAAAAATTCAAAGCTACTTGAAAACACAAATTTATCTTACATTTATACCAACAGTAAAGAAAAAAAAAAACTTAAATGGAAATAAAGATAAAAAACATAAAGATAAAGATCCTATGTCCTATCACTCACTGGATATTGCAACAAGCTTATCAATGATTATTAAGCTGGTAAAAGACATGTAAATAAACTTCTCTGAAACTCAAAACATAAACAAATAAAACCCAAATTTAACATTATTCTAGTTGCTTGTATCTTTCAAATAGAACTTAGTTATATAAATACGATAGGTGAATAACTTAATCCATTTGGTTTCTCCCACTCTATTTGCTATAGATGGATTTATAAGGTCTAAATAGAAGGTTGAAGTTCAAATAAATATAGAATCGTAATTAGTATTAGATTTCTCACTAGTAAATATGAAATTCTAATTAGCATTAAATTTCTAAATAATATATGGTTTTCCATTAATATTGAATTTCTAAATAATATAGGATTTTTAATATTTTAATAGAATATTTCTAATTAGATTTAAATTTCTAATTATATTAAAATTTGTAAATAAGAATTGTAATCACTATATAAAGAGGTATGTTTGCTATTAATAAAAACAAGTTAAAATATTATTTTAGATTACAAGATTGAAGCTCTCTCTAATGAGATCCAAGATAATAACTCTCTTTAATGAATTGAAATATATTTTCACAAAATAGGTTGCTCTTGCAATAAAAATAAAGATGTTAGCCCCTGTTATTAATCGCCTGATAACTCAATCCTTAACCGAGAAATATAACACTAACTCACCAACAATCTTCGGCTAACACTACAAAAAGGAGTTTAGGGCTCAATTTCATCTCCTCCAGCTTCTGTTTTCTTTCCATTTCCTTTCTAATTTTACCATTAAAATTTCATTACAAAGCTAGTAGGCTAGTCCCGAATCCCACTTCATTCTCCAATAAATTAATTGTAAACTTCATGTGGACTGCCAGGCCACAACAGGAAAAAAAGAAAAACAAAACTCAAAAAGAAAAAAAAAAGGACTAGCACACTTTCATGTCTAAAAATACAGTAAACGTTCTTCAGGTAGTTGAGCAGAAATAGCCTATTGTAGAAGATATTCTTCAGATATTGCTAAACAGTACGCCTAAAAACCCACCATCATCATCATCATTCACAACTATCTCATTCTAGACACAATCAACACCATAGAAAAATCAAAATATCATCCGCAAAACCATCATGATATTCGGCCATTCACAACAAAATAGAACCAGATAGGACGTTTGATTTTTCATTTGACCAAAACAGAGGGAAATTGAAGTAATCTAGTGCAGGGTTGATTCCTACCCTTGTTGAACCTGTGAGGACCAAGATCTGCTTCAGAAGCCTACCCTTCGGATTTCTGATATTCCCCTCTCACCAGAGTCTGCTCTCTTTCAATATTGGAAAGAAGACTAAGAAAATCCCCAAGAACAGAACTCCTAAAACTCTAAAGATCTCACTGATTAAGCCCTTTCTACACTGAAACCTAACTCCCCTCTCTGACTCCTTTTTCAAATATTGAAAATCTCTCGTCCCTTTTTTAAAGTTTTCTTAAGAAACCCCAAATCCTTCCTTGAAAATACCTGCTGCTTGTTTTTCGTCACCTAAGATAGCCTCCCCTCTTCTCCTTCGTTACCCGTTTTCTTCTTTGTCTCCTCTGTCTTCTTCCTCGCGCGTGCCAGCTCTCGCTCGTCTGTTTGTCACCCAACAGCTTCAGTCACAGACAGGATCGCGCGTCGTCCTTCCTGCTTTCGCTTCTCTGTGGCAGAACTTCTGTCTCTCATATGCTTCTTTTGCCCCTGCGATCTGCTCTGCCTCCCTTTGCTTTTGTCCCTGTTTGTCGTTCTCTGGAAGTCTTCAAGTGAAAATGGAAGGAAGACCCAGCAATGACAAAACGGTGCTGCTTGGAGAAAACCAGTAAACGGGCTTGGGCTTTTCTTCTTGGTTTCCTTTTGAACTTTTTATTTTTGGTGGGTTTGGGTTTTCATTGTTTTGGGATCATATTAAATATAATACGAACTCATTTTAATTGTGGAAATTGGTTCTAAAATAAGTATAATTGGTTTTGGTTTGGAATTTGAAATAGATTGGTTTCAATTAAGTTTTTAATAACGATAATGATAATCTGAACAAGGACAATCAAATTCGTTTCTTATTAACTTGTTAAGCCTGTGTAAGAGATAATACCATAGACATGATATCATGTAATGATAAGCAACAATTAAAGTATAGAGAAAAAAAAAGATAGTACAACATTCTTTATAAAGATTTGGTCAAACCACTTGTCTGTACATACTGTTTTTCAAGTCAATTACTTAATATTATACTATTTTTTAAATATTATAAAAATTTAGTTGTTCATAGTGTTTAACTCTGAAACCGTTTGTATTCCTCTATACACTACTTGTTTGTCTATCAAAATATCAAACCCATCTCCCACTCGTGTTTTTTGAACACTATTTGCTTATCTATAAAGGTATGAAGTTCAACTCTCACTCGTGTTCTTTGAATATTATTTGTCTATTAAAATGTTAAGTTCACTTATCACTAATGTTTTATCAATAAAACGTTTCTCAAATATTTGCACAAACTTTTCTTACGATACCTCAAAAAATATGAATGAAAATGAAGAATTGTAATATATTCATAACACTCGTTGAAAAATATAAAATAATTTAATATGATTTATTTATATTTTAAAATTATGTTGCACGTTAAAAATCAAATGTAAAACATACCTGAGAATAGATTCTCAAATTAAATTTCTTAAAAAATATGAAGATTCTTTGCGTATTCATACAAAAATTGATATTTGCTAATTAATTTTTTGATTAATGAAACACGCGAACAAATTGAATAATATTTGTATTAAAATTTTCTCACTAAATTGTATGGGAATTAAAAAGAAAAAGGGTTTTCTTTTTTTTCTTGTTAGGTGTTTTGCAATCACCTCCTAATATATATCACATATATATAGGTGGCATGGGTAGTTATTAAGTCTTTGTTGGACTTCTTCCTATACAAGTCCAAACTAATTTGGACTTATCATTTTTTTCGGCACCCAATTACATATATATCATACATAATTTTCAAGTCCATTTTTCTATACACGTCCAAACCAATTTGGGCTCCTTTTTTTTTTTTTTTGTTCTTTTCAACACTCAATTATATATATATATATATATCTCATATATTTATGTTGCATTTTATTATTATTATTATTTAATAAAATAATTTTATAAATTATTTTAATTTCAAATTAGATTTATAATAATCTCTATTATTATAATAGTCACACATATTATATTATTATACTAATAATATAATAATTAAGACATATAAATATTAATTTTTTATTTCTAAAATAAAAAAATTCAATTTGTCTCAAATATTATATCCTTTATACTAGCAAAGAATATAATAATATTTCATTTATATAAAAATTTTTATTTGTTTGATTAAATTCAATTTTTTAATTTAATTATCAAATAATTAAAGTAGTTATTTTATTTAGTAAAAATTAGAATAATCGTTAGTATGCAACTCCATAGATTCAATACTAAACTGGTAGCAAATTGGTCAAACCAATCTACTAATCAAGACTGACATCTAATAACACTCCTTAATGACCAAATATCATGAAGTGTATAATTACTTTTAAGAATTTACTAAATAATGATGTAATATTTGCTTCTGTCATTATTACTCTAGGTTAACATTAAGATATGATTTCATGTCAATTATAACTTATTAATGATTGATATAATTTTTTTTTTTTCATTCAATTACTCTAACCAATGTCTTAATGCAGTCGTCATAATAAATGACAATATAGAACTTAAACTTATTACCAAAGTTACACATTTAGTCTTGATCAATCACTAATTCTACAAATATTTAATCATACTCAATATCCTTTCAACTATAATTCTATGACTATATGTGTACAGAATCAAAATATAATAAATAAATTGTTGATTACTATGATCACTTCAGGTTAAAGAAAATTCTTACATATCATTATTTTAAAATAATATTATATTAACAGTTTCAGGTAATATTAACCATTAAGAATTCTCAATTGGGTCGGTTCAATGGTTATATTTTCATATATATCGTGCATATATGTAATTTAGTTAATGAGATCAACTAATATTTATCTTATAGAGATAATCACATATATATTAGTCTTATCATATCATTAATTTTCTATTTTGATGATCTAACTCTTATTATCAAGATCTTCATCTTGATGCAAAGTCTCTAAATTTAATCAAAAAATTTATCATATAAATTAACTAGTAAGATAATGAATATAATAATAAAAATATTATTGTCATATATTAAAATAAATTTTTAAATAAAAATATATTCAATATATTACATAAATAATTAAATTTTGGGCATAACAGTTATATCTCTAACAGAAAAATGTACAACTTTTTCTTTTAAAAAGTGGATTTACAAATGAAAAACTCATTTGGAGCTCAATGGGGGCTCAACAGAACGAAAGAAGATGTTTCTTTTGATTTTTCTTGTTTTTGCTCAAAGTTTCTCATTTCAAACATCTTATAAGCATATATTTATATATAGGAATGTTAAAAAAAGTTATTTTCCAACAATTTTAATTTGATTTAACCTTCAAAAAGTACTACATAAATCTTTGTCTACAATGTGTAGAAAATTATGTGTGATGTGCTTTAACAAAATCATTTAACACTTACGACTAACCTTAAACCTCAAATGTTCTAATTTTTCTAATACTATATTTTTCCTAATAGTATAATGTCAAAATTTGTTTATGAAGGAGATCTTCATGTAGCCTTTGATTGATCTGTAAGAAAAACACATAAAACGAGCAAAAAATCCAATAAAAAAGATAACACAAAGATGAATGATGAAAGAAAAGTTGTGT